ATCTTAGAGGCCTTTTCCAACCTTAATGATTTGATGATGCAACAACCTCTTTTGCTGGGAGAGGCGTCCCCGGGAACCTGCGTTCTCCCTCCTTGTGCACCATCTCCTCAGCCGGCACCTTGGCTTCCCCGCTCACCCCCGGAGATGGACTCCATCCCTCCCGGCAACCCGGTTGCCCTGTGGTCCTCTTTGGAGTCGCCACTGCCCTGGGTGTAGCTAAAACCCCAGTCCTGTTCAGTGATTTTTACTTTCCAGTTCAGTCTCTTCTAAAAGGCTGCACTGTCTGCAGTCGGCAGTGTGTTTGTGCAGACAGGGTGTGCTGCTGGCAGGGATAACCCCTGATGTTACAGTCACGGCCTGGGACTGGGATGCAGACAGGCTCTTGTTTATACTTATTCCTGTATTGACCAAGGCCACTGCTGGCTCTTGTGTGCCACGCTGGGGGTGCCGAGTAGTGAGAGGGGGCACAAGGAAGTGAAAGGTTGCACCTCCGGGGGGTAATAGACAGGACAGGTGACAACGAGAGTATTCCATCCCATATACGTCATATTTAGTATAAATTGAGTGATCAGGAGAGTTTCAGCCCTTCTTTTCCCTTTTTCTGCCATGGCCGGTGTCCAGGGAGGACTCCATCTGACCTCCTGCTTTTGATCCGATCCTGAGTTCCCAAATCCAGCTCCCTGTATCCAGGTCCCATCACCGCTGAGCCTGGGGCTTCCCCGGTGCCTCCTGCTCTGCAGCACCAGTGGGGATTGATATCCGGGGAGGGAGCTGGGTTTGACATCGGGCTATTATCTATAGTTGTATATATTCTTTACTTTTATCATTTCACCATTATTTCTATTGTTTCATTAAAGCTGTTCTAGTCTTTTTTCTTCTCTAACCCGTAAGTCTCTCTGCCTAATTCCCTTTTCCTTCCCATTTGGGGGAGGGAAGAGGGGGTTAGAGAGCGTCTCTCTGCGTTAGTGGCCGGCCCAGCCCTAACCCGCAACAACCACCCACAAGGGAGATGTGCCTGACAGCTCCGTGACCCGGCTCCGTCAGCCGGGACCCCCACCCTGAAGGACCCCCCCTGCACAGGGTGCTCCCCTCCCACACCAATCCTCAGATGCTGGGCTGGGAATTGCTTCCTCACTGCTACTCCAGGAATGTTTTGGTCAAGACAAGTTTAAATACTGCAGGAGGGCGTATTTAAACACTGCAGCACTGACGTGATACGCAACACGTTAAACTGGCACGCTAACAGCCCAAAGTAGGATTAGACACACTAAAACCTGGCAGGATTTAGATCTTCTCAGACCACGAGCTGCAGCAGAAATTCCTTCATGGTCCTCGAAGGTGTTGCAAAGCCCTCGCAATTTCAGATCCGGAACGCTGGCCACCACAAATAACCAAGAGATGTCCAAATCAGGAAAAGCCATTTACTACAGAAAAGCCGAAAGCTGATACAGTTATGTAAGAGTTAGAGTGATCTATATTTTTTTCCCCTGAGAAAATATGACATTATCATGTCAGCTTTTTAAAATTCGTCTTCAGAGTAAGCAATAATAGAAGTATGTTACTAGACAAACATTGGCAAAGCTCTCGCAACAGTCAGTATCTGAGACAAAGAAAAGACGTAATTAGGTGGTAGATTCTTAACATTTTTTTTCAAAATCAAGATTTTAAAGAGCCGTACTGCTTATATAAAATTTGACATGACCCTAAGAATCAGGCTGTCAATACAGGCACTGCATTGCAACAGCGTGTTGACTTCAGCGGTCCCGGTCCCTGAATGAAGAACTCTCAGTGACCCACCGTAGTTTCTAAACAGCTTGAGTGGGTGCAAACGTGAGCTACCACTAAAAGAGAGGGGCAGAAGGGAGAAGCATCAAGCGAGAGTCCTCACCAGGATGGAGAAATGGGCTGCCACGAACAAGTTCAACAAGAAAAACTGCAAAGTCCTGCCCTGCAGGAGGAGTAACTCCAGGCAGCAGTGTATGCCAGGGGCCGACCGACTGGGAAGCAGCTCTGCAGAGAATGCTGCTGAGGATCCTGGTGGACACCAGGTTGAACCTGAGCTAGCCAAGAGGCCTCACAGCAAAAAAGACTGCTGATGTCCTGGGCTGCGTTAGCAGGAGGGAGGTGGTCCTTCCCCTCTGCTCAGTAGTGGTGAGGTCACCCCTGCAACACTGGGTCCAGTTCTGGGCTCCCCAGTACAAGAGAGACATGGACGTACTGCAGAGAGTGCAACAGGGGTCCATGAAGATGATGAAGGGACTGGAGCACCTTTCCTATGAGGAAGGGCTGAGAGCGCTGCGACTGCTCAGCCTGGAGAAGAGAAGGCCCAGGGAGATCTCATCTATACCCGAAGGGAAGGTGCCAAGGGGATGGAGCCAGGATGGCCCCTGCTGTGTGGTCCCCCACACTGGTAGTCCTGAAAAAACTCAGAATATGCAATCAGCTTACAGAGCAGAGAAATGGAAAGTACAAGTCTCCAAACCATTCTATAATTTATCCAAGCACTTTGTAATTGTTGGCTTCATTCTGCCATTGCCATTTTCAGCGATTTGTTCTCTCTAGGTGGCAATGTCCTTTAATTAAAATCAGTTTTATGACATCCTACAGGCCCACACATGATGAAATATATCTACGAAACTGCGTATTTTTTGTATTTTTTTTTGCAGACTACAGAAAGGGCATTAAAAAACCCTTAAGGCTGCCCTATATTACTTAAAAAAAAAGGAGCGCAGCGTTCTAGCATCCCTATCCCCAGCCAAGAGTAAATTGTTGTCTAAAGATGCGTCTCTCAAGAACGTCTTTTGTTTGTGATACAGCAAATGGAATTTGCTGTTGGCTCTGGACGCTGCGCAGAGCAGAAGACTGAGAGACACCTCGTCCTGCCCAGGGATGGGGTGGATGCCAAACACAATCCTCCTCTCCAGGCCGGAGAAGCGTCGGATGCTGTCAACAACAATGACATCCTTTCGAACATCCTCCGCTACCCCAAAGACCAACCTCACTCTGCTTTTCCTTATTTGTCTTTTTAGCTCGGGCTCCAACATCTGCCTGAAGACCTGGGCTGCCTCCAGTGTGCTGCACAGGATGGCCATGTCTCGGATGGGGTAGCCCTGCTGGATGTAGCTGTTGCACTGCCTGCTCACGTACTCTACCATCTCAAACGTTCCCATATTTTCTTTTTTTATGTAGTCCCCTGGCAAAGAATGGGCACATTCAGCCTGCTCAAACAGCTTTTCCAGCACCTCATAGGGCATATCTGTCTTACGTTCTTGGAGGATTTTCTCCATTAGATCAGACATGGCACTGTATATTCGCTTGGCGTTACGGACCACTTTGGTCAACCATTCCTGAGGGTATAGCTGGGAAAAGTTAAGACCACAACCGTACGGGTGAGTGGACTGGAAATAATCCAGGAAGACCCAGAAAATGCCACCTTTTTCCTTGACTAGTTTCCGGGCACGTTGGTACCAGTTTTCTTCCAGACGAAAATTCTGAGCTTCATCAACCACAATGTGTTTCACTTTTGGGAAGTTCCTCATTACGAAGGCAGCACGTGTCACAGACCAGCAGTTCTCATATCTAAAAATAAAAACAAACCGAAACCCAAGAAACTTTTATGGTAAATAAAAGGAAGATGTGACCAGGCAAATCCATATTAACTGCCCCCATTTCTCAGTGGGTTCTTGCTTGGAGAGCTTTTGCTGCTTACTCTCTAAACGTGCAAAACTTCCTATATCGTTTTCCGGCTGGAGGAATTATCCCAGTGGTTTTGCTGTGTGCAGGCGTTGCTGCTCAGCCCACACAGGCTTTGGATCTACCCTCGGAGGACAAGTGGGGTCACTTTTCCTACGTGGGGACTCCATGGCAAGGCTCCCCAGGGCTGTCCCTCTGCCCTGCTCTCCCTAACCCTGTGACGGCAGCGCGATGCCCGAGCCCCCGTGTGAAGGAGGGTTCCCTTTTCTCCCCAGTGTCGAGGCAACAACATAAAAAGGCAGCTGGGTGGTTCTGTTGTCAGCACCAGCTGTGACAAACTGTTAAACTAAGGGCCATCGTCTTTTGAAGGCCTAACACAACCCAGCAATCGCTGAACGTGGGATTCTCACCACAGGCAGTGAACGCTGGGTCTGGGGCAGAGCTCAGCTCAGTAACACTTCCAATAGTCGCAACGTTCTTGAGATTATTATTGTGTGTGTGTCAGCCAAAGTTATGTATTTGGTGAATGGATATAAAATCAGCAGGGCTTGTGCTGCACATAGAGAGGATGGAATGAAAGAAGAAAAAGAAGAATTACTGCTTACCCCACAAACTCCTTCAAGGGTGTATTTTCACAAATGTAGAGTATCTCTTCTGAAGAACAGTGAAAAACGTTTTTTATTCTCTGAATGATCTTCAAAGCCAGAATTGTTTTCCCTGTTCCAGGAAGACCAAGGACAAACTGCTCCTTGGTTTTGAGCAGGTTCTTGGAGAGCATCTCATACTGTTCACGAGTGAGAAGGTTGAAAATCTCACAGCCAAAATGGTCACTTAAGTAGGACTTAAAGCGCAGCACAACGATGACAAGTGCACGTAGGAATGCAGGGATGTCCCTGGAGGTGAGGATGTAATTCTCTGGGTACAAGCTGGTGTAATCACATGGGTTTTCTCGCTGGGGAACGTAATCCTCTGCAACTTCCATCTGGCTATTTGTGCCATCCAGGTGCAGTATCTGGGGAATTACACACACTCTTGAAGCATAACCCCCATCATTGACTAGTTTCTGCTTTAATGCGCGGGCAGTTTCTCTCAAGTTTTCCTGCTCAGAAGAGGAATCCTTGACGACAGTATACAATACTGGATATGCATTTTCAGCCACTAGGAGAACATCACACACAACATCCTGCTTCTTCCACAATCCAATCTCAACGGCCCAACTCCTTGAAAAGATCAGTACCCCCTTGTTAAATGGACGGATTTGTTCTTCCATTAAATCCTTTAATCCAGGATATTCTGAGAACAGGTCATTGCAGATAGTTTCTGGCTTCCATTTGATTTCATTAGAACCCACTAGAGAAAAAGAAATCAAAAATTAGAAAAAATACAGCAAATAAAACACATCAGTTGCTGGAGGAATATATTACATCATGAAGTCATCAAAGTAAATGATTAAGCGTGTGTGAAAAATTCAGCATCCCCATGATACCTGATGGTAAATCTATAAGGATTTTTTATACGCATAAAAGAGGGATAAACTCCACGCTTCGGGCATGCTTGGCATCTAAATGGAACAAGAAAAAGTCTCTTTGGAAGGATCTGCCTCCTCATAGAGGTCCTTGCAGCATCTCCAGCACCCCTGACTGGTAAAATGCCTACAGCAAGGGAAAAGGCACTCAGGAGCATCATCCCTGATGTATATATACACATCCCTATTAAATATAGGGGGATACACGAAGATACCTCTCATCCCAATGTTAAACTTGATGCTCCTCCAAAATAACAAGTAACAGTAATTTTAAAAAATATTAACACCAACCATCTCTTAAATACACGGGTTAAAATGATAGCTAGGCACATTCATACCACACAGACAAATCTCAGGCGCAAGCATACATTTACGCTGACTGTGTCACGGGCTTCCATTTAAAAAACACGTTCTCATCAAGAAACAGCAACTGCGTATCCTGCACCAGAACACTATTTACTGATCAGTAAATCGGTCATCTGAGAGCAATGCTGAAAATAGATGTGAAAAGATAGCCAGATTACAAAAATAATTAGAAAAAAAAGGCTATTAATAGATACATCCATAGGTCAGAATTTGGAAAAAAAAAATAATCCGTGGACTGTTTGATGAGAAAGTATGTGTGTGCTGCTGCTGGGAGTGGTTCTGACCGCTGAACGCGGACCTGGAATTCCATCTCCATCCCACGTGTCTCAGAGCTTGACCTAAAGCCGCAGCCCGGCTCTGCAGGGACATCACAGGATTTACATTGCGCTTCTATTCTCTTGTCTTTCAGGGCTTGGCATGTGGGAGTATCAGTTGCTCAGCAACCGTCTCTGCTCTTATAGCTCAGATAGCTCTTATAGCTCTTATTTCTCAAATAATGAAAGTCTTCACCTAAAAAATAAAACCAAGGCAAGGTTCTCAAGCCCTGCGTAATAAGGGCTGAGCTTTTCCTTCCCCTCTGTGTCGTGGCCTGAAGTTTCGCTGTGGCAGAATTAACTCAGTAGGTGAGATAAGCACCTAAGCTGATCAGATCTCCAGCACTCAGACACTTAGTGCTTGGCCCGGTGGACCAGTAGTACAGCACCACCAGCGCCCAGCTGCGGGGAGTGTTCCGAGTTTGCACGGCCTCAGCTTGGAGGCTGGTCTGGTTACTTTCTCTGAATTTTTGTTGACCTGTTTGGAGCTTCCTTTCACTTGGTTTGCCTGTAGCAGCATTTTTTCTAATAACCAGGTGGCTGTGGATAACAACCATCAGTTTCTACAGACAGTAGCAACAAGCAGCTCTTCTGCAGAGGATGAGATCTTTCCACCTTAAATTAAAAAAAAAATCCAGAAAAAAAGGCTTACCTGGGTAGAGGCACTCCTGGAGCTCAGACACGCACGGGAGACCAGCTTTTGAATAAACTGGCTTGATAAGAGGAGGACCATTTGCCAAACTGAGCTCATTCTCAAATTTATCAGCCAGATTTGAAAGATCTCAGAGGAGAAAAAAAAAAAAAAAAGCATGTTATATCCATCGAAATCCTTCCATATCGACTTTTAAAACCCAGCACTAAAATTCAAGGGATTAATTTAAAACCTCGCTTCACAATGCCACTCAATAAAACTCTGCCTGCGTTATGAAGACTGACAGCATTCCCTGAAACCAACAGGCTCTTGATCTGCTGTAGAAGGGAGGGCTCACAGCACAGGCGGCTTCTCGGTTCACAGGCAGGATCTCGACCCCACGCGGGATAAATCTGCTGAGACCCAAGCGCAGAGGTAAGAGGCGCCAGGTCAGCACACCAGCGCCCTACAAGAACCACCTACGTGTGCTCTGGGCTCCAAAAGACCTTGCTCCTTTCTTCCTCTCCTACCAACATCGCCCCCTTTGTCTTTCATGCAACCATGTCCTTTGAAGAGACCAAACATCCCAGCCCTGAGTGCAGACCACGGCCGCAGGAGAGGTTTCGCACAAGGCTGGACCCACTCGGTACGGCAGGGGCTCCGCTGGGACAGGTCTCCTTCTGTACCATTACAGCTAAAATGATTATTTTCCTTTAGTGCTGGCACAGATCAAGCCAGGGCATGGAAATTAATCCTTGCTAGCACTGGGGATTTCACTCCCTGGGGATCAGCACCAGTAAGGTCTTCTTTGTTTTTCAAAATAACCCCCTTTTAGGCACCTAAAGGGGCCAGATTTCCTCCAGAACATTCCTCCCTCCTAAGCATCTTCACAGACAAAGCCAGCTTCAAAAGTTTTCTGCAATTCTCATTAAGACTAAAGGAAGCTCCTGAGCGATTTTGAACCATTCCACTTCGCTTAGGGGTATATGGGATCTCTAGGCAGGCTTATTGCAACTGGGAGTGCTTCAGGAAATCCTGCTAAACCAGTTCAAAGAGCGATGACCAGTCTGTGGCTGGAGGCAGTTACCGGAGGGTTGCCCTGGTGACTGGGCCATGGGCCAAAGGTTTGGTGAGAGCACAGAACAAAACAAATTGGTTTTTTCTCCTGAAAGTTAACGAACCAAGGCAGAAATGGAGTTGGCGCTAACGTAAATGCGGATTTTACCTGGGTCTGCGTCCGTCATGCGCTCTGCCCATTTGCTGATGCTCAGCCTTTCAATTCTTTCACCCATCACCATCCAGGATTCAGGGGCATCATGGAAAACAGCGCAGCAAAACGGTTCAACTCGCACAGCGCATACGTAGCCCTGGAAGCGTTGTTCTATGTTATAAACGCTCAGGATGTGAGTCTCGAACTGCACACCTGCCTGAGAGCTGCAGAAGTGGTGGAAGAGCATCGAGTCCATGGTGTCAGCTACTGCTTTTTCTAAATCTTCTTTCTTCACTTCCCTGTGGCTTCCAATGACTCTCCGGTTGTCGTCCACTCCAATAAATAAATAACCACCCTGCGTGTTTGCAAAGGCAGAGACATAACTTGGAAGGGTTTTTTTAATGTATTGCTCGATATTCCTTGTAGAGTACTGCTTAAATTCAATATGCGTTGTCTCCGTAAAATCCAGGATCTCCCCAGCTATCAGTCTGTCTCTCTTTAAAAACCTGGCAGCGGCATCTCGGATGTTGCACTCCTCGGTGTTCGGAGGGGTCTCCTTTGCTCTGCCATCAAAACTCAGCAGAGCTTTCTTAGCGCTTGGTCCGTTCTCGTTGTGGCGCTGGGCCCAGCTTTCCTTCTGCCTCAGAAATCCGGCAGCCTCGCTTGAATTCATATCGACAGCAGAAGTGAAAGACCTGCGGGACAAACCGGTGCTCACGCTACAGATACGTGGCTTCGTGGCTGCGCTTTTCTGCTCCGCGTCTCCGCAGCTCCATGTTTTAACAAACAGCAGCAGGTGACTCCGCTGCTGCATCCAAGTGAAGTATTCGCTGGTCTCGGTGGAGCCGATGCAGTGCCGGAGGCTCTGCTCTATGTCCAGCCCAACGCCGTGCTCCCGAAAGCTGTAATTCTCATCTTCGCTCTCCATCCTCACTACTCCTCCTCCTGAATTCAGCAACGCGCACACCGCTATGGAGAGATCCTCTCGTTGCTTTTTCTGGCTCATACAGCTCTTCTTTCTGGCGCTCTCTCCTAAAACTATTTTCCCAATATCTA